AACCACAGGTTATATATATATAACCTGTGGTTACAACAATAAACTTATTTACTTACAAATATAAGTACACCAGGCTGTCAATTAATTTCCATATGAACAGAACAGAACAGAACATTGCATATATTGAGGGCTCAACCTACTACTGCCCTTCTAAATGATGGGCGCTTGGCTAGTTATAAATAAAAATGAATTAGCAAGGGCTTGGAAGCTAAAATGCCAACCACCCATTTATACATTGGAATACAAACCTTGAAGGACAGGGATCCATGTTACATTCCTTCAGCTTTGGTTTGGGTTTCTTGTTTTCAGGATAATACTGGCAATACTGATCTGGTACCACCCGCTTTGAACGGATATCCACACACTCCGCAGAGTTCAGCTGATAACCTACAGTGGGGTGAGAATAGGCCATATTTGATTATTAGCGAGGCATAACTATTCAGTCACTGATTTCTTCTTGTAATTCCTGGTCCGTGTCCCGCCTCCTCCATTTGTCTTTTTCACTAACAGGAACTTACGACACTGACAAACACAGTGGCATACCATCCACACCCACATCGTACATTTACACCGTCATGTGATAACAACAGCTGCTTCTCTTTTCTGTTACACTCTCCCTTCCAACCAGCAGCACACATTTCCGTCTGCCCTGATTCTCCCATGATGACAACCGAGCAATCGGAATGTGCATAAACCTTTTGCAACCCCTCAGTGGTGGAAGCCAATGATTTGGGAAGACACAATTCCATCATCAACAAGGATACACGTTTTAAAAAACTGATGCCTACATACTGAATCCACTTATGGGGACCTTGACACGGTCTACGGAGCAGTCCATATGGAAAAGAACACAGACCTTTTATCATAGGTGGATGCAGTTACAAGCTTCTGGATTCCTAGTTTAGGTAAGCTTTCACCCACCCCGTCAAACCTTAACAAGAACCAAATTGGAGCGCCAGGCCTACTTCACTTCATAGGAAAGACATTTCTCTTGATAATAGATTAGACTTCAAGCTGAGTTAGATTTTGGCAGAGGTAATGTGCAGGTAACAGGCAGAGTATAGAAAATATTGTATTACTTCTACTTCTTTCCTCCTCCCTGTCAAAACCTCATTATTCCTAATTATATTGACAGTACTCTTAGCAACCCTCTATGCAAACAGAGGGAGGTTAGAATACCTCCGTCTACTTCTGGTCCAGGTCAGTTTCATACATGAGCATTCAAGAGACCGTTTCATCTCATTTCAAAACCTACGTGCATTAAAGGAACAGCCATGTCAGTCCCCTGAACTTTCTTTCTGTGGCTTTACATAGCGGTTGAATCTCTGAGCAGCTCCTAATATCTACTACAAGCTTGAGTCCTAATAATGCTAAATTTGCAAAAAAGGGAAGAGGTCAGAAATGCTTGGGATGGCCAGTAGTAGAAATCTTGGGTGCATCCATTCTATACCATGATGTCTAAAATTTGTATGCAGCTTTTCATCCTATACTGAGGTACCACATAGAAATGTACCATTGGCAGGTTTTTCTGTGGCTTCAGGCAACATCAGAAGTAATTAAAACTGGAACCCACAATCACTAAAGAGGAGATCCAAACCCAGCACTCAGCCCAACCCTGCAAAACCACAAATATTTTTAGCATGGGTCCTCCATACCCAGCAACGGGAGGTGAAGACAAAGAAGACACAATTCTAAAGAAAGCCACTGGTTCAAGTGATCTGTGTAAGAATTCTATGACGCTCTGTGTGGCCTTCTTGGAAGACAGTGTAGGAGGGAGGGAGACAAGCTCATTCATAGGGAACGACATGCTTCTTTGTAAGGTGGGGGGGCGGTATTGGTTTTTAAGCAAGCAAGCAAAAAAAAAAAAAAAGGCCCATAAGGACAAACTCCAGAACGGAGACAAGAAGGCAAACATCTGCCAAGGTGAAAAAGTCTGCAGGGTTACATATCAAAGGTTCCAATGATGCATCTCTTCCTGGATAAAGTATCATCACACAGAGGAAAGCAAACTATGGAAGAAAAATTGAGCATTGTAATAATGTTAACGGCATGCAGCAAATCTGCTGAACAAGCAAGACAAGTTAAAATATTAAAAGGTAAATGCTGAACATTTCAACTGTTTATTTAAATCCAGCTGCATTTTATGGGACACACAGGCCTTCTGAAATCCCCTGTGACTCCAGGCAGAGAACCTAAGTGTGCAGGGGGAGAGAAGGCTGTTTTGAACAAATAGTCCACTGAAAGAGGGATGACTGCTCATTTACTCCTCCCCTCTCTTCGTTTTGTTTTAAAAATGATTGTCTCCAAAAACTATTTAAGTCATTTATAAGCCAGTGAAAGAAGCCAAATGGGAGTTGACAATGGCTAAATAACCTTATGTCGGAAGCATTTAGGCCAGGCAGAAACAGAGCAACATTTCTAAAACACACTATTAAGATTAATGTTCAACCTATATTTTTGGCTCATTTCTTACTTAAAGAGAGGGAGCGAGAAAGGGGAGAAAAAAAAGCAGAGGAAAAATGTGATATTTTGCAGGGCCCAAGAGCGTTGCTTATACATTTTGGCTTTAGAAGCCGATGTTAACAAGTTGGACTGCAGTTTGTGTAGGGGTGTGTGTGTGTGTACTTGTGTCAGTTTCTCTGTTTGGGACAATGTCACTCCAGTTTAGCATCTGTGTGAGTCACCATTTCTTCCAGCTTCCACTTTCTTGGAAATAATGTTTTGGTGGCTTTTTAACATTTTTACATGGGTCACTACTATTTTTTTTTAATACCCTCCCCCAATAACTTTGAAATTATCTGCATATGCTGATCAAGCATCGCTTCCAAGCAGGCGGGGGAGGGGAAGACATGGCTGCCTGCCACATTGCTGGTTTGGCTCTTCATTGCTAAAAGTAACCATTGACCAATTCCTTAAAGAAAGAACTTGTAAAAGCCCCTCTGCTTCTTGTTAAAGCAAACTCTCTTTAGTAACCAAAACATGGCAAGTGTAGATCAACACCAGAGGCAGTCATAGGTTAGATCAGGTTAGGAAAACTCCAAACACAACCAAGGAGTGATGATGACCCTCCCATGTTCGCACTAGTACAATGTGGCAAAGACTGAGTGTTGTTTATGTGGCCTCAGGCACTCCCAATTATTTCTGCCTCACTTCTGCATCTCTGTTCAGGTGAGTGTGCTAATATTCACCATCCTTTCATATCTCTTGCAAACAGAACTGAGCTGCATTCTGTATAAAATTAAATGTGTAGTTAGTTCCCCAGTACTCTTTTTTTAATAATATTTTATTGAAATTTTAAATTACAAAGTTAAAAGTTAGAAAT